TTATTAATCGTCTCCCTACTCCTAATTTAAATGGTGTTTCTCCTTTTGGAAAATTGTTTACCATACCCCAGACTTCTCTTTTATGCGTATTTTTGGATATGCTTATTTTCCAAATTTTAATGCCACTTCTGCCAATAAACTTTCTCCTAGGTCCACTCTATGTGTTTTCCTAGGCTATGCTCCTGAGTATAAAGGTTATCGTTGTCTTGATCCTATCACTGGCATAATATACATTAATCGGAATGTACGATTTTATGAAAATTATTTTCCATATTCAGACTTAACTTTATCTGTTTTAAAACCGGCTCTCCCATCTTTGTCCCCGGAATCCACCATATCGCTACACCGACCAACAGTTACACCACCTACTACCGCTACACCACACCAACCCGAAACCGTGTCGGCATGCCACTTTCCACCCTTGGTTGAACTGGATCGGCCGGTGCCCGACAGTGACTTGTCCAGCCCGTCGTCTGTTCGCTCACCAGCCACTGACCCCATTTCTTCCATACACCTGACACTACCCTCACCATATACATCCTCGCCACATTCCTCGACCACTGCTAGTCTCACCGAGAACGAATCATCGTCGGCATCTTCCCCGATGTTTGGTCATCCATTGCAAACCTGATCCAAATCGGACATTTTTAAACCAAAAACTATTTTTAATCTTAAAACTGATATTTCGGCATGTGGTCCTTCTTGTTTTTCACTGGCAAATAAAGATAGTAAATGGAGAGCTGCAATGGCTGAGGAATTTAATGCTCTTATTGATAATCATACTTGGGATCTAGTTCCATTTAATTCTCGTCAAAATGTGGTTGGGTCTAAATGGATTTATAAAACTAAATTTAATTCAGATGGGTCTGTTGAGCGTCATAAGGCACGACTGGTAGCACGGGGGTTTACTCAACAAGCTGGTGTGAATTTTTAAGAAACTTTTAGTCATGTGGTTAAACCCCACAATTGTTCGTATAGTCTTATCTCTTGTTGTTTCTTTCGGTTGGACTATGCGTCAGTTAGATGTCAAAAATGTGTTTATCCTATGATTGGTTCATCACATGTGACAACTCACACTATCTTGAGAAATAGATAACCTTTTACTAAACTCTTATCCTATAATTCATCTGTGAGTTTATCCTATGATTGGTTCAGAACATGTGATACAGGTGCGTGGTATTGTCAGGCTTATGCTACCAAATGGTACAATTTTTTATATCGCAAACACTCTTTATGCACATAGAGCTACACGAACCTTGTTAGGTTTCAAAGATATTCGTGATAATGATTTTCATGCGGAAATTCACTATGAGAACAGGGTAGAATTTTGATACATTGCCTCTAATGAATGCGGACGAAAACGCATATTAGAGAAATTAATGTGTCAAACTAGTGGACTTTATGTCACTAGTATTTGGTTCTTTGAATCCTATAGTGTCACTAATAATGAAATATGGGACATAGACTCATACAGGCTTTGACACGATTGTCTTGGGCATCCAGGTCGTGACACGATGGTTCGTATATTAAAGAATTCACGCGGATATCCTTTCTTTCAATCAAATAATAGGAAGGAGTCAAAATCTAACACACTCAAATGTGTTGATCCTATGTTGCTCAAAAGAAGAAAAAAATGTTCTTCTAAAGTACCAGAAGAATCATCCCATGCCTCTTTCATAATGTCCAAATTACACAAACCATTTCGCAAAGCTTGTTCTTTGGAAAAATACAATCGAGGCAATCCTATGCTAAAGATACAAAAGTAAACATCCCATTCTTACAAAGAATACAGGATATATACGTGGACTCATCACTACTAGAAAATTGGTCTATAGTGACACTAAACAAGTGTCACATAAAGTTTTACTGACACTAAAAAAGTGTCATAGAAGGCCCGAAGATTGTGACACTAAATTTAGTGTCACCAGTAAAGTGTCACTAATTTATGACACTGAGGTATCATAAAAATTTATGATACAATAATATCACTTTACATTTTGACACGTTAATATCAATTAAATTTATGATACATTGGTATCACATAATGTTGATTATATATTTATGATATATATTAAAACGTGAGAGCTGTAGCAACGGAAATAGGACCATGCTAACTCTCTTAGAACTTTTCTATATATAGAACGTGAGAGTTAGCATGGTCCTATTTCCGTTGCTACAGCTCTCACGTTTTAAACTTCCGTTTTCTTCCCTCATTTGATCGCTCACCCACTTGAAAAACAGCCACTGTCAATTCGCCGAAGATGGGTCGATTTGGCGTTGTTGCTCGCTCCACCGCAGAAACTCTGACCAACCATCTTTGTGTCGCTTCTCTGTCCCTTCGGTCACTGTTGGAGTGTTCGAATGGTGGGTGGTTTTGTTGGTACAGAGGTAGTGAGGAGTCTTCCGCCAAGTCTAGCTAGGGTTGTGAGGAGGAAAGCAGCAACGCTGAACTCCGAACTCTGAGTCGCCGCTACCCGCCGCCAGAGGTCTGAAATCTAAACGCTTCACAGCCCACCGCCGATATGTGAGTCTTTCAGTCTTTGACTTCTCTGTTGGTCTAAAATCGAGTCTTTAAAGATAAAGACCTATCCACCTAAAGCTCTAAAGTGGCACGCAAGCAGTAAAGGTTTTTTCTAATTTGTGAGTCTAAACACCAGGTATGCTCTTGGGGAAGCACGGAGAGGGGGGTTGACTAATTTATGTCTACTCCATATATGGGTTTTGGTTTTGCTGCTAGAGCCTTTAATTTATTGAATTGCTCCTGGTTGATAATTTAGGTTTCTAATGCTCATTTCTCTATTTGCAGACAAAAAGTTTAAACTACATGACTCCTTTGAGGCCCTAAAGCTCAATTCATGTGTACTCTATGGAAAGGCTATTTAATGAAATAGGGAGTTTACTATTTTATATCTTTATGCTGTAGAATTATATTATTTCCTTTCTATTAGCTATCAATATTTTATAGTCATTGTTTCGTTCCTTTCTATTATGCTAGGAGCGGTATGTTATGAACCATTCTCTCTCTGTAAATTCATGTACTATTTAAGACTATTTAAAAATTTCTCTTGCATGACTCTGTTACAACAACACTCATGGTTGCATTCTAACTCTCCTTTTCTGACATTTCACAGTTTAAATAGCATGTAGAAGAACAGAGCATTGTCGCTCATTTTTCTCTACCTTGTAGTGATAAAATGCTCATGACCTCATTAATGTTTTGATGCTTTCAACCTGATGCCTTGGCATGATTTAACTTCATATATTGTTTTGTGCAGTTGAACAGTTTCATATTGAACAACATTCTAGTTTTTGTGATTGTGGTCTCGTTCGGGTTGTTCACTTTACTTGGTGGGAATCTAACACCTGCAAGGGCATTTACATCTCTATCTTTGTGTGCAGTGCTACGCTTTCTGCTTTTCATGCTTCTCAATATCATAACACAGGTTCTCTTATTTGAAATGCAACCAACCCAGTTTAATGTTTAGTACCTATTTAGTGATATTTCGGTTATTGAGTAGATTTCACACTGGAATTTCTGCTTGCCTGGTGATTCTAAAGGAATTAACAGCTTGAGAGACTGTGTTGCAATAGCTGATCACCTATACATCATATTCCATATAAAGTGAAAGTTGTTTGAAGGATTAGAGCAACATCAATAGTTATAAATGTCTCATTGTTATCTTAAGCACCAGAAAAGAACTTTATTACTTTAATCACCTCTTATTCCTCTATCTAAAGACTTCTTTGGTTTTAGGAACTATGGTGATTGAATGTGTAATCCGGTGTTATGAGTTGCATGGAAAATCCGATGCTCATGATACTGCTATGAGTTAAAGATAGTTTTTCAAAATCCAATGATATCCATACAACTCTCTTTAGTGGTAAGAATCCTTTTAAAAACCAGTCCCAATAAGTTTGAATTATGAGCTTTTGACTGCTGTGTATTATGTGTCATTTGAAATCAAACGTGTTGTTTTCTGCTACCAAGCTTGAATCCCAACTAATGACTTGATATTTGTTTTCACTCTCATTTTGTAACCATTAACACCTAGAGTTAGAATCTCAGAACCACCAGCCTACACTATCTCCTCAATATATATTCAATGGGTGAGAGATTTGAGGAGGTTGGGAGAATTACATCTGTGCGAGGGGTGTAGTATTTATCTAGGAGAATTACATCGGGAGGATTTATCTGTCCTCCGCAGCAAGCCTCCCTTCATCCTCAGTATATATTCAATGGGTGAGAGATTTGAGGAGGCTGGGAGAATTACATTATCTGTGCGAGGGGTGTAGTATGTTTTAAATGATATTTTTTTAAAATCCTGTCAACCCACTATAGTCACCAACTCACATAGGGGATACTGTTCTATACTATTTATAGTTATTATTTTATGTGTTGAATATTTTTTTTACGTATTCATAATCAGTAGATAAGGGCATTTATCTCCATTTTGATTTTTTAGATGCTTCTCAATCCATGAAATAAATGAGATTTTATTGGTTGGAGCATGTAGTGGAAGATTGCTAACAATACTTTCCTGCAAATGATAGCGAGATAAACCAACTTTATCAAATATCAATTTGGATATTCCAATTGGAAGCTTAGTAGCAATTGTAGGCGGTACTGGTGAAGGAAAGACATCACTCATATCAGCAATGCTTGGGGAGATTCCCGCTGTTACGGATTCAAGTTTTGTCATGAGAGGAACTGTTGCTTATGCGCCACAAATATCATGGATTTTCAATGCCACGATACGTGAGTCGTGACCATGTTTTGGCTAGACTGAAGTGTCTAAATTTGATTTTCAATGCCACAGCACATGACCTTGATCTGGCAAGAAAAAGTGTCTAAATTTGATACTAACAGGTTCAGTTCTCATATAATGTTGGTAGTAATTAATTTTGGAGAACATGCTCCCATTTTTTGTTATCTAAATTGGGTAGCTAATCACATTTTGACAAATTATCTGCAGCCATTGAAATGCTTAGTATATTTTTTAGGTGCGTGACAACATACTATTTGGTTCACGATTTTCACCAACAAGGTATGTTAAAGTGGTTGATGTGACTGCACTACAACATGACCTTGAACTTCTCCCTGTGAGTATTTGCACATTTTTATGGTGAGGTTCTTTTTTTGGATGGGGTGTTTCCATTGTTCAGTTTACAATCATTTTATGTTCTTTACCAATGTCTTTGTAAAATATGAATTGTACTTCAGGGGGGTGATCTTACTGAAATTGGAGAAAGAGGAGTCAACATGAGTGGAGGACAGAAACAAAGAGTTTCTATGGCTAGAATTGTTTATTCTGATGTTTACATATTTGATGACCCCTTAAGTGCACTTGATGCTGATGTTGGCCACCAGGTAACGTCTTTTTCATTCTCACAACAACAACATCCAAACCTTATTCCCAAAAGAAAAACAAATGATTTCCTGTCACGTTTACATTCTAATTCCAACGTAGGATCAAGCTTATATCACAACTCATGTTTATTCCTCTCTGCTATTTTTGTGTGTAAAGTGTAAACTTCTAAGAAAACGACTATTACCTTCCATTCAATTGAAGATGTTATTTATTCAATTTTTTTATTACATTGCTTCCAGTTTTATCCTTAGCTAGCAAATCTTTTAGAGAAGACAGTTTCATTAGAACTATTTGTGATTTTAGTCTTCACTCTCCAAACTGTGGTGTCATTTCACTTTATATATCAGACTTTTAAGTTAAAATATTGAATTCCCCAAGGTGGTGGTATTTGAAAGTTGAATGGAATTGATCTATTGTTGGGGTGTTGTAAAAACCTAATCAAGGTCCCTTTTATCCATTTTCAATAGTTTGGATCCATTATCACCCACATTAATAGTTGAATTTGAATACTAAATAATAAACTATTAATATAGTATTAGGACCAGAACAGAAATTGCTTTTCTTACATACTTTATGCATGATTGTTTTCAGCAATGGAATTCTTACATTGAAGGTTCTACTCCGCTAAATCTGATGATTTTTTATTAGATTATCTTGTATCTCTATGTATGCGAGCTATTCCATTCTTAGATACTCCATTATTGAAATTTAGTGTCTGGCTATTATTTTCATTGCCAGGTTTTTAAGAAATGCATCCGGGGAGAATTAAGAGGAAAGACCAGAGTGCTGGTCACGAACCAGTTGTATTTTCTATCACAGGTAGACAAAATTATATTGGTGCATGACAGTGTGGTGAAAGAAGAAGGAACCTTTGAATATCTCTCTAATAAGGGTGAGCTATTCCAAAAACTGATGGAAAACGCTGGAAAGATGTAGGTTTTTACGGATGAAAGCAAAAACTTAGATGTTGATGATAAAACCTTAAATCTTGTTGCTAATGGTGAGGTCAATACCAACAACAACAACATCCAAGCCTTAGTCCCTAAAGAGTTTGGGGTAGGCAAATTTGTTCTTATGAAACAGTAAGAGCGGGAAACAGGTGTAGGTCGTGAGTTGGAAAGTTTTGAACAGGTAGAATTTATATTGCTTTTTATGTGACCAAGTTTGTTTGTATATGACTCGTTTCCAGACTTTCTTGAATTCTTTTTCTTGCTAAGTTAGATAAAAAAATCTCCAGAACTATCGGTGTCATAGCATAATCTTTCAATTAAGAATGTCTTAATAATCTAAACAGCTGCAAAGCTTCTTGAATGCATGCTTGTTTGGACCTGCTACAACTTATTGAATAAGAAAAGAGCCCCATCAAGGAACCTCTTCAAAAGTACTTTTTTGCCTCTTATATTGCATAAAAGCCTTCTTTTTAGTTTGTTTTAGATTATATTTATCGTTTTCATATGATTATCCGAAATAATTCTACGTATGACAAAGTCCAAATATCAATACAAACATTTATAGGGAGTATTTAGGGCTTTTTCTCAAATTTGATAAACTCTTACGCTCATTGAAAAATCACTAACAGATGTCGTGCCAATTCTAACAAATATATGCAGTGTCATCATTTTGCAAAGCTTAAAACAATAATATTTTTTGTGATGTATCTGCTCCAAGTGCGAACAAATTGTTTAAAAAGATTTTCCAAGTTCATTTAGACTGTTTGGAGTTGCATTGTTGATCACTCTACCGTGGAGTGTAGGAATTTTTGACTTCGTTGTTGCCGTGGTTGTGGTATGTAACACTTGAGATTTAATTTAAATGAATTAATAGTACTACTCATACCAACAAGGCGCATCTCCTTTTAAGGGAGCTCATTAGCCAAGAACTCCAAAGTTAAGCGTGCTTGCACGGGAGTAGTCTTGAGATGGGTGACCCACTGGGAAGTTTCTCAGGGCGTGCACGAGTGAGGACAAAGTGCGCGGAAAAGGCTAGTGGCGGTTTGTGAGGACAGTACTAGAGGTCAGAAGTAACTACCTCGGGGCCTACGGGGCCGGGGTGTTACATGGTATCAGTCTCCCTTGAACATATTTCAAACATGTTTGCTTTCGATTAATGTGTTTGTCAAAGGAACTTGTATTTTCGGAGATAGTTGACGGCTAGAAGCAACGAAAATGGGGTCAAAAGTCAAAATGGGATAAATAAATCAGCACTTTCAGGTCAACCATGGACGCCAAAAAAGGACGGAAAATGTTGCGATTGGATGCGAGGTAACTCACGCCAGTCAGACTGGAATTCTGTAAAGGGTAGCTACTGCGAGTGACCGGTGTCGGTCATCTGAAGCAACTGATGCCGGTCAAGTCGGATTACTAGCTTACTGCAAATAATATTACAACCGGTGCCGGTCACAAGCTCAATCAGCATCAGTTAGTCTGATTTCAGCAATAAAAACGTGAACATGTTGATCTAATTTGGAGTTACTTCTTTGTTCTTAGTTGATCTAATTTGGAGTTTTGTTTGCCAAGTAAAGGATTCAAAAATGCTTTCCCCATATGACTATCTATCCTTTGATGTCGTTGTAGGTAATGTTTTACCCTTGGTTAAATGACTGACTTAGATATGACTAAATAGCTATATTTGATTTCAAACTTAGATATGACTAACTAGCTACCAGATAGGTACAAAGGTTGGATCTATATCGTGTTGTGTGTGTTGAATCTTCTGCTACCTCTATTGACAACTCAAATGAAGAAGAGGGCACTTGAATGCACAATGAAATCAAAATCGATAATGGTTAGTATTTTAACTGTTTTATTAGGTAATGCTTGCTTGTGGGATCTTGATCTTACAAAAGCAGGAGTACCAAAGTCATGGAAAAGGTCATCGTTCCAAATAACCACACGAGAATTCTTGGAGAAAGCTGATTTGAGAGTGAGTGTTCATTCCGTTTTATTTTAGTTTGCCTTTTAGGTTTTATTGTCAGGTAGTATCTCACACATTTCAATCACTTTTGTAGAATTTTATTGAATCTTTAAGTTGTTGTCAGTGTTTCCTCACCTTGTGATAAAATTGGTTTCATAACATTAGACACATTATACTTCACTATGGAAGTGCCAAACTATTAACCCACTTAGTTATGTTTAGAATGTCAGATTTCTTGCCAATTTCATCACAGATGCTGGAATTGTCATCAAGAGGAGCAAGGTAAGTAAATAAATGAAATAAATCATTTAGTTTTTAGTCAGATTCATTTATGTTGGAGTGAGTGATGAATGAGAAGCCCATCATCTGATACCCTCTCAACTATCGTTGATGTTGTTAATTATATATATAAATCTATATTATCTTTACAAAATAATATGCATGAATAGAGGTAAGCCTATTATTGGTATAAAAAATTGTTGGTGGAATAGGATAGCTTAGATGAGATGTACTATGTGCTTAACTGTTTGTGATTATTTCCAACTTGGTGGGTTATCATATTTACTGCTGTAGATATTTTATTTAATAAAAAACTTGAAAATTTTCAAGATGACTTTGTACACGTTTGATGTTGTGTTTGCTTATGTTGCTTTAATGTATAGTGTCTTCTTGCTTCTGCCTGCACATTACCAGTAAGGTAGTAACTTTATATGACAATCTTTTAAAAGGTGAAAAGACCTAAAATAATCATAGAATTAACAATCCATCATGAGCTTTCCTCTAGAAAATTAGCCTAAACTGATAGTCTAACTAGATGTTTAACTTTTCAGATTAATAATAGAGTATTATCTAGCTCTGGGTACTTCAATTTCTTATACATCAGCACTCAACTGATAACCTAAAGAAAAGGCTCATCTCTAGAGAAAGATGTTAATCGAGTCAGAATCAGGAATTTCATTGAAGCAAAACTGCCTTAGTATAATATTAGTGGACTTATATGCAGGGATGTTTACTAATTATTGGCAGTTAATAGGCAATATTATACTCAGTATAACATTAGTTTGCCTTTTATAAATGAAATTTATGCTAATATATAATTCCAGCATGATGATGATTTTTTGAATGAAACTAATTTTTGAGCTGTTTACCGGGACTGAGAATATATGCAGATCATTTATTACAACATACAATACTCAGTATGATTATAGTCATTAGAATGAAATTAATTATTGAGTTGTTTATGATAGTCCCTGTTTCTGTAACAGACTAACAGCAATGATAAGCAGTCTAACAAAGAAGATTAAACGTAAAGATGAACACAGATTGAATCAATGTAAAACCTTAGGCGAGAAAGGCTTTTAGCCTGTTTATATGGGCCTAACACTTGGCCCACTATTCTATCTAATACATGCACTAGTTTAATACAAGGGATAATAATAAAGCTAATCTATGACAAACTTGATTCACAATTAAAATATCTTCAACAGTTTACAACTTCGAGTCTTGCATCGAGTGATTTTCTTTTTCCCAATTCCCACAGTATCTAACTTAAGTTTGAATATTAGTTTAAGAACTTTACCTCATACTTCTCTGTGTAAACATGATTGTAAAATATTCCACCAATTCAACATATAATCAGGGGCCTAAACATGTTGTCTTTAGCTTTTACATGATTTAATTTTACTAATTTAGCTACACAGTGTTGCATTGGTTTTGTTTCAAAAATATTCACCATCATTGGGCATGACCCCCACGCAAGGCGCGCACCACGGCTAGTATATATATATAGGGGAGAGTTCAAATACAAAGAGGTCTTCCCATGCAAAGTGAGAATTAATCTCGTGCATTCATTTCCAGATTTAATGGCTCAAAATGAGCCAAAAGTGAAATAAATTTGATCAAAAACGCGGTGGAAATTTCGTAATTAAAACGAAGTTTTTTGCCATTGCGAAAAAAGTGCAACAGAAACACGCAAAAGTGAAACGGGATAAGGAAAAAGTGTGATCGTTCGCACTTTGCACGGGAGAACCTCTTTTTATTCGATCTCTTCTATATATATATATATATATATATATATATATATATATATATATATATATATATATATATATATATATATATATATATATATGTATATTATATATACATATATATAATTATATATACGCATGAAATATAAAATTATTACTTGAAAATAAAAATGACGATGTATGCAAAATCAAAAGGCGCTTCTTTGTTGAAAAAAAGAAGAATTATCATTTACAATTCAAGTGTCATACACATTCCAACACAAACTCAACTAAATCTATAATTAACTAATTTGAGATCCTCCCATTGCTTTACACTCCACCTATGACTAAATCACTTGATCTTCAACTTGAGCACAGTGCTTCATACTTGTTGGTGGCTTTTCAATATCTGAAAGAAATAAAATCAAGATACATAAGATAGCTACAATGAATAATGTTTATGTGAGAAAGCCAAAATAATGTTGCTAAAAATTAACATCTAACGGTAGATGAACTAAGTACACATCATTTAGCCCTAATGCTAAATAATTCTAATGAGGCCATTTTCATTAACTTCAAGGAGTTACCCTCTAGAGTTAAACAATCCATTATTGCTGATTCTTTGGGCTATCCTTTCTTTAGATGGAATTAAGCTGTTTTTAAAATTTTGTTTCATTTCTTTGCTTAGTGCATTTTCATTTCAGGTCAGGGTTGCCCCCTGAAATTTCCTTTATTTTTGTATTCATGTATTTTGAGGAGGTATTGTCTTCTCTTGAGAGGTTTTGGTTTGTTCCTGATGGAAGTAAATCCACCGGAAAATAATTAGTAGATAGCCGAAAATAATTAAAGCACTCAGAATAATACTTAGAGAGATAATTGTACGTAGTGTATTCAATGTATTCAGCCTCATCGTTCTTCCAAGAGTTACAAGAATTTATAATACAAAATTGAGACAAGAAATATTCGGGCAACGTGGTCGCCATGCATGAACTGACGCACCACCATCTTCTGATTTGTAGGACTTATTGCGAGTTGA